TTATTTTCAACGTTTAATAAACGCTTTTTTTTGAGTAGATAAGATACGTTTAAATTTATACGCTTATTCAACGTTAAAAATGTAACGTTTAAAAAGCGGTTTGTTTTTAACGTTGATAAAGCATATACTTCGAAACGTTTTTAAAGTGGCTTTTTGCGTAAGCTGATTCCACGTTGAATAAACGTTTTATTTTGAGAGGCTAAATTACGTTATAATTTCTACGCTTATTCAACGTTTCAATTTACCGCGATTTAGTATACAAAAACAGACATTGATTCAACGTTGAAAGCACGTTGTTTTTGTGACTGTAACGCTTTTTCTACGCTGCGACTGGTTTTCAACGTTGATTCAACGCTTACATGTTTGCTGGGAAATTTTAAAATTGTTGAGCGAATTTGTGGTTAAGTGATTGCTTAAGTTTATTAAGTCGTTTTGTTCATTTCAAAAAATATTTTTAGAGAATGAAAAAAATAAAAATGAACAAGTAATAAAAAAAAAATTATATCTAAAAAAATTTAATGATTACTACATAACAATTCCCTTTGGGATATTTCTAGCGATTTGTATAATTATATTTGTACAATTATTAGTTATTGCAACATTATAATGCCCTTGACAATTAATTCCGCTTGAAGGAATTCTAGTTTGAATACATACAAAATTTGACTGTGTAATGAGTCGTTTTGAACGTTTTGAACTGATAACCTTTTTAATGCTTTTGTTGTTTACCGCAATAATATGTTGTTTACTAATGCGCCTTAAAAAAATATCCTTCTAAACATGAATGAAAACAGTGAAAAGGAAACATCATATTTTCTACACAAAAAAGATAAAAACCCAACTTCAGTGTGGTCACATTATTTGAAGTCTGCGGATAATTTGGCAGCAAAATGTAAGAAATGTGGTGTAATTTTGAAAACATTGGGTGGTTCTACAAAAGGCCTTCATACGCACTTATCAACTAAGCATAATTTGAAAGTAACTTCAGCCGACAAAAATTTACCTAGTTCGAGTCAACAGTTGAATGATGCCAGAACCGACGAGAAGCCTCCTACGAAACGAAGAATAACGAGTTACTTTGCATCCGAAAAAAAAAACCTTAGACGAAACACTGGCTCGAATGACAGCTTTAGATGGGCTAACATTTAATGCATTTATAACATCAAAAGATTTAAGGCAATTACTGATTACGAGTGGTTTCAAAAATTTGCCCAAGTCAGCAAACTCAATTAAAAGGATAGTGGTGAGTTACAGCTTAAATATTAGACAGTTAATTTCCAAAGAAATTTATCAATATAAAGCTTTGGGAACACGATTTTCTCTGACCTTTGATGAATGGACCTCTACAACAAATAAAAGATACATGAATATTAATGTACATATCCCAAATAAACACTGGAGTTTGGGTCTTATTCGTGTATATGGTTCTATGAATGCTGAGAAATGTATTGATGTTTTAAAAACACGTCTAAAGGAGCATAATGTTAATATTGATGCAGACATTGTTGCTATTGTTACGGACGGTCCAAATGTAATGGTTCGTGTGGGAAAATTATTGAGGCTGAACACCAGTTGTGTTTAGTCCATGGAATTCACCTTGCAGTTTGTGATGTTCTTTATAAAAAAAGTTCTAAGCCAATGTCCGACACCGAAGCACCATTGAAGGAAACTCAAGATATTGTTGATGAAACAGATGATCACGAAGATGAAGAAAATATCGACGAGGAAATGGGATTAGGCTTTCTTCCCCCAACAAATGATGGGATAGCAAATATGGATTTACTCACCAATGAACAAAATATCAATGAATTAGTGAAAAAAGCCCGTAAGGTAGTTGTTCTTTTTAAACAATCCCCGACAAAAAATGATGCAGTCTTGCAAAAATATGTCAAAGAAGAGAAAGGCAGCGAGCTTTCGCTCATTTTGGATTGCAAAACAAGATGGAACTCTCTTCTATCAATGCTAGAGCGTTTCCTTGCTTTAAAAACATGTATACAGAAAGCTTTAATTGACTTAAATCACCCAGTTTCCTTAAACAAAAGTAATTTTGTGGTTCTTTCGGAAATAATAGAAGTACTTGCTCCTGTCAAATTAGCAGTAGATGCGTTATGCAGACGAGATGCTAATCTATGCGCTGCAGATGCAGTACTTATATTTTTATTCCAACAGATTGCTCAAAAACAATCTCCCTTTGCTAATAAAATGTTCCAAGCTATAAAAACAAGAATGGAAAAAAGACGATGTGAAGAAATTTCTGGTGTTTTAAAATACCTTCAAAATCCAAAATATGATGCTGTGAATGATGAAACAAATGTCTGCAAAATTTTTGGAGTTCCTCCTAAAACCCTTATTAGGAAGCAGATAAAAAAACTTATTAAGAGACTAGCTGCTTTTATAAATGATAATTTAGAAAAAATAAAGTATTGATGTTGATGAAAATATAATGGCTGTCGTTAGAAATGAAGAATCACAAGTTCGAGCCTCCCTGTCTTTAAGAGAAAAGTTACAAGAACAAATTGCACAAAGCATGAAAGCCATTGAACCAGAAACACAAACCTCAAATTTAATGTCAATCATAAAGAAAGAAATGCATCTGTTTAAAAATGGTGGAAACCGGAGGCATAATTTGGAATTAGTATACCAATATTTGTTGGCTATTCCACCGACGAGCATCGAACCTGAGCGGGCATTTTCTGCAGCTGGGTATTTGGGAAGTAAAATAAGGAGTAGGCTAAATGACCAAACCTTAAATGCTCTACTATTGCTCCGGGCATATTTTCAGACAAAAAAAGAAAGTTTGTAAATAAAATATGCACTTAACATGAATTGTTTTTTTGTTTTACATTTATTATTTAGCTACCATTTATTTATAAATATAAAATAAAGATTTTCTTTAATTTTTGTCTCTCAATATTAACAAACAATTTATTATGTTATTTTTTACAAAGTAGCTTGTTGCTACAGCAGCTACATCGGTACCCAAATTTAAGAAAATTTATGTTTAAAAATTTATTTTAAAATTTTGATTGTTTAGTTACTTTAGTCAAATACACTTTAAATGTTCAATTGTTATTTACATATCCAATTATTTAATGAAGGTTATTCTGTAAAGTCTGTAATCTTAAAACATAATATGGAAGGTATCGTATATATATTTCTGCATTTTTTTAAGATCTTTATATACACCGGCTGCCTGTTACACAATTAAAACAATTTAAGGCGCCGTAGAAAATTAATATAAGTCATTAAAACATAATGAAATTAAATAAAGAATTGATAACATCAAAAAGTATATTCATATATGCAGTATTAAGTTCTGTTTTTAAGCAAATAACTCACATTATATAAAATCCCGGGATACCGGGATCCCGGGATTTTATTTACTTCAATCCCGAAATCCCGGGATCGTAATTCATGCCCGGGATTGCAATCCCTAATTATAATATAATAATTATTTTTGTTTATTATGATTTTAAAATGTGATTCATTATTTTTAGTTTGACTTGTATTACTCAGAATTTTATTTAAAAATTAAAATTACTTATTGAAGTAATTAAAAATTAAAATTACTTATTGAAGTAATTAAAAATTAAAATTACTTATTGAAGTAATTAAAATTACTTATTGAAGTAATTAAAATTACTTATTGAAGTAATTGGAAGCATAGATTTTGTGCTTAAATATACTGAGCAAGTTTTAAAAAAGTTTTATTTCATAAACATAGGAAGTTTCCTTAATGTTTATGAGTTAAACCTTGTCTAAATTCTCTAAACAACTGTTTGGCGTGAGTATATATATTAACAGCGCATACTATTAGAAAAGCTTGCTTTTGTTTTAAGTATATTTTCTTCAATGATAAAGAAAACAATGTTGCTATAATAGCCAAAGCATTATTAAAATAATAAGCAGCCGTGGCGCAGTGGTAGCGCACTTCCCTCAGAAACAAAGGATCCTTTGTTCAAACTCCACCTCAGGGCAAGTTTTGCAACATCAGTTTGGAAAGAGCATGAACTTCATATTAAATACTTAAATTTTGAAACTTAATATTTATTGATGAATATTAGTCTAGTTGAGAACAGCACAAAAAATATTTTATCAACTTGTTGCTCTCACGTTTGGGGCAGGGGAGCAAAAAATTTTGAGTTTTTTTGTTTCCAGGTTCCAATCATTGCGATTGTTTACAAAGCATACTTATTTGACATAAGTATAAACATATAAACGTTTGGAGTTTGCCCTATGTCTGGAAGTTAGCTGTCTAAAAGACCAAAAATGCAAGATCCGCCCCACAGTGGGAACAATTCATTAAAAAAGGTGGCTAAAAATATAGTCGTTGTGTTATGTGGATATTAAACCTTAGTTCATTTAAGCTGACTGAACAATATAATATGAATATAAAAATTTCAAACCTCTAAGTTCTAAATTTTAAATAAGAGTGAGGCAGTTGGGATGGGAGTAAAATTTTAGATCTTGTTTGCATTATGATTATAACCCAGGTCATCACTAGACGACTGATCTTACAAATCCTACAAGAATCCTATAGGATGAGATGCGCAAGTCCCTGCAGGACCTACAAGAATCTTTTGAAGGATCTTGTAAGATTTGAAGGAATTCCTATAATATAATATAAGATCTACAAGAATATTTTAAAAGATCTTGCAGGATTAACAGGATTCTTATAGGATGCTGAAGGAAAATTTTAGATTCGTATATATACGGCCGTAGCCCTAACCCTTAATCCAGCACTGGTTTCTATAGGAACCAGTGATAGATTAAAGAGGAGGGGGCTAGGGCCCTAAAATTTCGGGATTCCGAAACTATTAAGCGGACCTTTTTCTTTTTCTACTGTTTTAGTCATTTTTATGCTGTGGCACGTTAAAAAGGACTCCGGGCCCTGAAAAGTCTTAATACGCCAATGATAGGAACCATAATATTTATTATTTTATAATTAATATCATAAATCTGATAACCAAACTAAGAACATACGAAGTTAGGTTTTTATT